CCAGTTGGTTGATTAGCCTGCTTTTCGCCAGACCAGCGTGTCTTTGCAGTGGCTAAGCCGAAATCACCTATCTTTACCGATAAATCCTCATGCAAAAATATGTTGTTTGACTTTAGATCTCTAAAAATGTACATACGTAAATGTTCGGGATTAATATACATATATACGATGTAAATATTCATATGAGTAAGCATCATTGTGCATATATGTAATACCTGTGAATGATATTTTTAGCATGAAGATAATCCATACCCTGAGCCACCTGACGACCGATATCAATTAATGTGTTAAGTTTAAATTTAGTTTCATTAACATGTATATGTTTATACAAACTGGAACCTTCACACCATTGTGTTACAATTGCTAGCGAGGGTTTCGAGACACAGCCCATGAACAAAAGAATGTTACAATGTCGAGTTTTCTTAAGCATTGCCACTTCATTTTTGAATGCCTGCAACTGAACAGGACTAGGCGTTTTTACATTTAACGTTTTTACAGCGACGGGGCCGTGCCAATGAGCCTTATACACTGTTCCGAAGGACCCAGAGCCGATTCTTGGCCCAATTAATATCTCCTCAGCTTGAATATTCTGAAATTCAAACAAATATCAATATCGCCTTTGCTTTGCGATTTTATCATACCATACCCAATTTTCTTCGGATCCTTTTCCATCCCTAGGTGACAACAGATTTTTATTGCTTTCATCTGCCGAACGCGCTCTTTGTCGCTTTATGGTTTTCAAAGTGCCGGTAGGAGATGCTTGTGTTGAATTGGAATGATCGCTGCTGGGATGCTGCGAGTTTGATTTTAATATTTAGAATTTAAATGGCTTCTATATTCAAGTATTCATATTAGAATATATTACCTGTAGAGGGCCATGGTTTTGCACTAGACTACGTTGTGCTTCCGTCAGCGGTCGGATGTTATTTATACAAACGTTAGGTGCGGAGTTTGATCTATCCTGCTGACTTATAGTACGAGGATGTCTTACTTGCCCTAATACAGCATTCCTTCCCGGATGTAAAATACCAACAGAATTTTCTGGGTTTTGAGCTAATAGTCGTTGATAGTAGTTATCCATTGGAAATTGTTGGCATAGTGTTGGTACTTTATCAGCACATCTTTGATGAAACCGGAAATTACATTGATTGCAGTAGAAACCACTGAAGAGCAGGCGTCGGCAGCCCTCACAAAAAGCCAAGGAGAAAAACGTCTTTCTTATGAATTGATGCGAAATATGTGTCATTATTGGAAATTTGTCCAATAACCGCACATAAATTTCTTCCACCATCAAAGAACTTATGTCAGTGTCCCACGGAATGATAATACGCCCGCAATCTGTTGCTGTAACTTCACACATATCAGGAGTCAATTGTCTCAACTTAAGCGCCTTCATAAGCGCATCGCGTAACCGCACTCCAGGCACTACCTCCACAGATGTTCGTTGCTGGTTTGGTAAATGAGCACGCAGCAATACCTTTGGCGGACGTGTCAATGTACTGCATTGGCTGCCATTGTTGCTGTTTGTAGCATAACAATCCGTCTAGAATTCAAGAAATATGTTTTAAAGGGTTTGTTAAGCAAAAAATAAAATAATAAACGTTAAATAAACTAAAGAAAAATAGCCAAAGCTTGCTAAAATGTCGCGCCCCAGTTTATATTTGGGTCACTGGTACATATGTACCTATTTGGATCCATCCCGACATACCATATCAGTAGATGCTATCTGACCATGTTGTTGTTGGTTCTGGTAATGGTGTGTTTGATTACTATATTCGAGTTGAATTTTTTGCTGATCGACTTGGCTAGATTCTTCTTGCTGGCAGCTTAGCTGATCCATAAGTTCGTGTTCTTTTACGAAAAGATCATGTAATTTTGAAGTAAGCTCTTGGTACTCTGTGATATACATCGGAGGTGGTTCTTGAAGATTAGCAAATTTTGCATTCAGAGCATCAATATTTTCTCGAGTAACATGTATAACTGATTGAACGTTTTGCAATTCTTCCGCAAGTGGGTCAAAAAGATCGCCACTGTCGTCTGTGGAGGAAGTGCTAGACATCTCGGCACTTTGTTGTTAGAAAACTGTTACCGGTCTAAAAGGAACTTTCAAACTTAGGACGTCTTGAAGCAATGCTAGCAAATAGGCGATTTGCAAATTGCAAAGTTTTCCAGTTACTGTCGCATAAAATTTGCATTTGTTTTCGGTCTTCTAAAGATTAGTTCGTCTCTTGCCGCCTGTACAATGGAAAAGTGAAATAAGTTTAATTTAGTTACAGTATAAATATCATAATTTCTTTACAATAGGCGATAAAATCTTACAGCTTGGTAGCATATAAAAATCCACAGATAAAATTTGTTAAAGAAGGCTAACAGGGTTGCTTTAAGCCAATTTTAGACTTGTTTGTCCAGCATTTTTTCTATTGCAAAAAAACGTTATACAAATCTACATGTATTATGTTTATGTATGTTTATATTCGTAATTTTCTCGCGTTTTAGAAATATGTATATGTTTAAAAAATACATTCTTCTACGAGTTAAATATTTAATCATTTTACTGGAATAACTTTTTATCCGGTTTTGTCACCGACAGGTGTGTGTGGGCCAAGGCAGAATACATAGTTGTACTGACTCCTAGTCATCTGTTCCACTCTCTCCTAGACGTATACCCGCAAATTTACGCAAGCACGAACATTTCTGGACATCTTTTAACGATTATAATGTTCCTGAAAAAATCCTTGGAACTTGAAAAACGCTAACACACAGGAATTGATTTCAACCATCAAAAATAGCCAAATAATATTGAATACTTTCAATGGACAGGTTTTACTGTACCGTTTTTATATATTAGCCCACTGCAAATATTTGCAATAATAAAAGTTGTCACAATTTACTTAGTTTATAGCAATTTTATAAACTTTTTGACTCTCTGAAATCCTAGCAGC